CCTTCTAAACCTTTCCCTTCAACATAAAAGTCAAAATGGAACTTCCACATCCCATAGTTCATCTTCACAGGAATGATATTCCCTAGGTTTGAAGCCATTACAACAATAAAATAACGCAAAATAGGGTTCGGCTTGAAGGGATGGGAGACCCATCATATGGATGGCCGAACCCTACAGGAAGGTTRGGCGAAATTTCAAAAATTTCTTTACTCCCATCCGGGAATCCTATTCCCAATTTAGAAAACTGCATTTTCAAAGTTCGTTCTTGTAACCAAACCGGATGAGCACTTTGAGAAGAGAAAGGTGACTCAATTCTTGATGAGACTTAGACCTGAATATGAGATAATCAGGTCTAACATACCGAGTAGGGGAACACTTCCAGATATGGATTCTGTTTTAGGGGAACTTCTGAGGGAAGAGACTAGATTTTCACTACAGCCGGGTTTGACGGGAAGATGACCGATGTTGGGGCTGAAACAGCCTTTGTTGCTCATGGAGGTAAGAAGCCAACCTCCAAGGATTTCTCCAAAACTCAGTGCTATGAGTGTAAGGGTTTTGGACACATTGCATCTCACCGTAAGAAGAAGAATGTGTGCACCTATTGCAAGCAACATGGTCACATCATTCCAGACTGTCCAGTCCAACCAACTAAGGGTTCTCAGAAAAAAACTCAGCCCCGGGCCTATCAGGCAACAGATGGACAAGCAACGGACACTGTATCCACCAAGGGTGATTCTTCAATGAAAGGTGATTCAATAGGTGTCATGGATGAAGAAAAGGTCTGGCAATTGGTATCTTCTGCTATTTCCTCTGCTTTCTCTGCTATTAGCTTGTCTAGTAAGTTCTCTGCATATTGTTCTTCTCCTTCACATGCTTGGGTTATAGATTCAGGTGCCACCAATCATATGACAGGAGCCTACCTCAATCACCCAAATCCTTCCACTAAAACTCACCATAAACATATTATTACTGCCAATGGTGAAAAGTTAGACATCATTGGTAGCAATGATTTGTCCCTTAAACTGTCACCAACTAGATCCTTCCCTCTCTCCAAAACCCTTTTAGTTCCCAACCTTACTACTCATATGATTTTTGTTGGCCAACTTGTTGATGAAGCAAATGTTCTCACCTTTTCTCATGATGGTTGCTTGATACAAGACCGATACACTGGGAAGGTGAAAGGAAAGAGGTGTAGGCTGGGCCCGCCTGTTTGCGCTTGAGTTTGAGAAATCTCAATCAAGAGCATCCTCAGCTTTACTTAGTTCTTCTTTGTCTAATTCTCTGTCGAGTTATAGAAATAATGTTTGGGATTTATGGCATAAACGGTTGGATCATCCATATTCCCAAAAATTAATGTTTTTGTTTGACTCTGGTTTGGTTAAGAATAAAATTCCTCCCATTCATACTTTTGATGTTTCTTGCACTACATGTTGTTTGAGTAAAATTAATGTTTTACCATTTCTTCATACATCTAAACATGCCACTAAACCTTTTGAGATAATACATAGTGATGTTTGGTCTGCTTCTATTACTTCACAATTGGGATACAGATATTTTGTATTGTTTATAGATGATTGTACCAGATATACTTGGATTTATTTTCTGCGGCACAAACCAGAAGTCTTTGGCACATTTAAATTATTTCATACTATGGTGCAAAATCAATTCAAGTGCAATGTGACTATCCTCCGCTTAGATTCAGGGGGAGAATATAAAGATGGAGACTTTCAAGCCTACTTGAAGAGTTATGGAATTCAATCTCAGCGTAGATACCCAGACACTCCACAACAGAATCGTGTGGCTGAATGAAAGAATGAACATATTCTCAGTGTTGTGCGAACATTACTACAAGAATCTCATACTCCAACTTCGTTTTGGGTAGAAGCAGCCAGTACAGTAGGGTATTTGATCAATTTTCTTCCCTCCTCTGTTCTAGGAATCACTTCTCCCTTCCAAAAACTTTTTGGTCATCCCCCAGATTTCTCTAATCTTCATGTTTTTAGTTGTCTTTGTTTTGTACATCTTCCTGTTCGTGAATGATCTAAACTAACTGCTAAGTCTACTATGTGTGCCTTTGTGAGATGTAGTCCTGACGATAAAGGATTTTTGTGCTATGATCCTGCTATTTGTCGTATTCGGATTTCCCGGAATGTTGCGTCTCTTGAACATATCTCTTTATTTGCTGAGATTGCTAGATTATCTGCTCCTTCCATCTCTATTTTGCAGAATTTTGATTTAGACAACACTACTACTTCCTCCACTGAGAGAGATTTTCTTGTCTTCACCCGTAAGCGGCTACGTGTCCTGGTCCCTGCGCCTACAACCCCACTTCCACCCGGTCCAGAGCATCCCTCCCCAGTACCCCCTGTAAGTGATACTTTGAGCCAAGATCCTCCTAATTTAGATAGTAGTTTGGTTATTCCACTTCGTCACTCTACCCGTATTTCACGACCCCTTGACCGCTATGGTTTTCCTTCATACCATAGTTCTTTTTCTGTTGTACTTTCTTTCACAAATATCCCTAGATCTTATCAGCAAGCCATTAGAAGTTCTCAGTGGAAAGAAGCCATGGATGCTGAAATTCAAGCCCTCCATGAGAATGATACTTGGGATCTTGTGCCAGCTCCTCCAGATGCTTCTATTGTTGGAAGTCGTTGGGTCTATACGATCAAACTAAAGTCAAATGGTTCCCTTGATCAATATAAGGTCTAGTTAGTTGCCCAAGGATACAGCCAGGAATATGGGATTGATTATGAAGAAACATTTGCCCCGATTGCTAAGATCACCACAGTTCGGACTCTTATGGCCATATCTGCTGTTCATTCCTGGACTGTTTACCAACTAGATGTGAAGAATGCTTTTCTTCATGGTGAACTAAAGGAGATAGTCTACATGAAACCTCTACCTAGATATTGCAATGATCCTTCACGTGTCTGTCGCCTAAAGAAGTCTCTATATGGTCTGAAGCAAGCACCTAGGGCTTGGTTTGAATGCTTCCGGGATGTTGTTGCATCTGGGTATAATTAGAGTTCCTCTGACTACTCTCTTTGTTAAGAGAAAACCCCAGGGTATCACTATCCTCTTATTGTATGTTGATGACATGCTTCTAACCGGGGATGATCATGATGGGATTTGTGAGCTAAAGTCCTTACTTCATAACTCATTTCACAAGAAGGACTTGGGTCCTCTTACTTACTTCTTGGGTTTGGAGGTCCATCGTAGCAGTCGAGGGCATTTCATTTGTCAACAAAAATACACCTCTGATCTCGTCAAATTAGCTRGAATTACTGATGAGAAACATGTTGATACTTCCTTGGAGTTGAATGTCAAACTATCTAAATCCAAAGGCCTCCTCCTTCCTGATGCTACTTTGTACCATCAGCTTGCTGGCTCTCTGATCTATCGCACTATGATCAGGCCTAATATTTCACATGCTATTCAGGTTGCTAGTCAATTTGTCTCTGCCCCGCGGTAACCTCATATGACTGTTGTTCACTGCATCATCCGTTATATTCGAGACACAACCTCTCAGGGACTGTTTTTCTCTTCCTCATCATCCATACAGTTGAGGGTTTATGCTGATGCTGATTGGGCTGGTTGTCCTGACACTCGTCGATCCACTACTAGGTGGTGTGTCTTCTATTAGACACTAGACAGTTTTGTATGCCCTTAGCTCCAATCAGTTTTGATGTACTTTTGACATTTAGTGTAAATGAATAA